TGCGGCTCGATATACAACAACTACACAACATGCACTTATGAAAAAATATTATGCATTGCATTCGAGGCACGTCACGGGATGACATACTGTTGTACGGGCATCGAGCTGCGAAAAATTAGGCACGATCAAATGCATGACATAGATTGCTTCGTGTACAACGAGGAGAACGCCGTGTCGAGGCACGCTCGCCGTTTCTGTAGTGTCATTCAAGATGCGATGATACAGTTTGTGCGACAGAGGACATCCGTCATCGAAACGATTGCTGTGAGGGTGATTCACATATTGAACGACGATGGAACCACTGTTTATTTGAAGAAGACAAAAGCAAAAACGATTGTCGATGTGAAACACTTGTTCCGGTGCATGAACGGGGCATACCGGCAAGTGCCACACAAGATGTGGATTTCACGAGGAGGCGTGAGAAATGAATAAACATTTGTCGTATGTAGGGATTTCACGAGGAGCTGGACAAGGGTGGAGTGGAGTGACATGTTTATAACGTTCATCTCGAGCATGCTGACAGCAGTGTATGTGTTTTATACAGAAGCTACTTCGCGTGTTTTCGAGTGGTGGGATGGTCAGTGAAGACAACAACCGTCATTGACACTTGGATGAGAATACCAAATTTCGGATTGTCGAGGCACTTCGAGTCGATCCATGGCTGAGTGTGCTGCCATGGCGAGGAACAGTTGGGAACTGGAGTAAGAGCGATTGGGATCTCGCAATGATAGAATGTCCATGGGCGCACGACTTCATATTTGCTAACGAGATGGAGTGGGGTCGGATCATCGAAATACGTTCCGCTTGTCTCGAGACAACATGTATACCAAACTGTGCAGAGATTCACTGGATGAACGACCACCTGAGTACCTATGACCCTCTTGTCGCAAATGCAGGCCAAGATTCGACGAATGAGTGCTGCGAGGAGGATGGGAAATTTTCATGCAAGTTCGTAAGAACATCACCTCGCACTTGGCCGAAGCGGTTCAAAGTCGAACTACAAAGGTGCGGAAGATTGTGCCAGAGAATCACAACGTACCCCATGCGTAACGAAGCGGGGACGAGCAATAAACGCATATCGTATTGCTCTGTGAGAGTTTCCTTAAACGATAGCGATTTATGTAGAGTCAATTGCGTAGCATGCACAGGTAAGGGTGGAAGATTAATAGAGACACCATGCGAAGCACTGTCGAATGAACACGTATGCGAGAATTCGGTATTTAATGTGAAAGAGTCCGTGGACGAAGTAGAACATAAAATATGCACCATAAGAGACGCTATTGGCGTCGCTCTCGCCGGAACGTGCAGTTTTGTAAAGATGTCGTATATATCATCATTCGACATGGACGACAATGATGAACCCGAGGGTTTGAAAATGCTCACATTCGGCTCACCCATGCACGACTTGTATAGTTACGAAGGAAAACATGTTAAACGCATTGATTCATACTAACAAATTCTCATATTACAAATGGTTTAGCACGGATAGGCAAGTACCATCACTAAGTGTTAGCCTCATCGGAGAGTTATCATTTCTCGACTTTATTTATGAGCGTCTACACCTTCGATTTTGTCGCTCATGTGTGTGGGGTGTGTAGGGTGCATAATGTCATCGACTTAAGGGATGCAGTTAGTGACAATGTAATCATAGCGGATATACTATTTTTTCTGTTTTTTATCCGCTATACGGAGAATCTTCGTAGTTAAACAATGTTGTAATTGTATAATAGACGTGTCGTTGTACAATATTAAGAATCTAATATGACGAAACTCGCGAATTTTGTTCGTCTACACGCTCAACTTGCAGGATGGAAGTCGGTCAAACAAGCTCGCATGGAAGCGGATCCTTTCATCAAGTTCCATCAACAATTGGGAATCTCATTATTTTAGACACTAACATTTGGTCGGTTGATATCGTCGATGAATTTGCGAATTACGAGTACTTAAATGTCGAAAACGAAGTTGGACCAGATGGTGAAATTCTACCGATCATGAGGTTTGTCAACGGACAAAAGACGATTGTGTCCGACAATGGATCAAATATGTGGTACCTGTACACAAAGGAGGATGACGCATACGTCATTGTATCGAGGAAAAACGTTGTGGATCCTTTGGGGATGCTAGCCAACTAGAAGGAGGTATGCAAAAAACAGGACTGGGACGAGAAAGACAAATTGGAACAAAAAGTGTGCGCGTGGTATTCCATTGACAGAAAAGAATTGCTTGCACCGGTGGTGGTGGACTTCTATGGTCAAATCCGAGTATGCAATGGAGGCATGGTCATAATGACACTTTTTACAGCAGTGAAGATCACCGGCACGACAATGAATGTGTTGTTCACTGTCCGGGAATAATTTTGGGACCCAGCGGGTTCGAGCAAACTCGAACAGTTTCGGAATCGGTTGAAAATTGACGCGAGACTTAGGAAAGAGTTAGTGTACAGGGTTGACAGTTTGGTGCATGTGCAACTGCACTACCTTTTTGACAAATGTGAGGAGATAGTGTTCACAGTCGAGCATAGAAAATGCAACACGGATGAAGTAACTCGTACGAAACAGTACCATCGATCGGGACTGAAAGAAGTACCGTTAGTGAGTGACAGACAGAAGATAGTGATAGATTGTCCATATTGTGAAGACATTTAAGCACGCAATAAATTTTCTACCTCTTATTCTTCATGGGACCCTGGATAGTAGCCAGTAGCATAACACGTTTGTCCAGGTAGAGACATGTTCAACAATCGATGCGCTTCATCGCTGACACGCGTTCTGGACTACAATTGTCAGATATGTGAATGACTTTGAACACAATGGAGATAGGAATTGTTAGCGCACTTTAACAATCGTCGGTTTCACTTTGTGTGGTGAACGCAAAATTATTTTTTTACTTATGTTGAATCGTGTTTTTTTCACCAGTTTTTTCGTTTTTTGTTACGATGATGTAGATGACGTTTTGAAAATCGCAAACATTTGCAATTTACAAGCTCAAAGTTAGCATAAACAAACATGTTTGAATTTATTATTATTATTATTATTTTGTTTTTTAAGACAGTCTTTGTTGTATCATCTACAATTTCTTCGTTCGAATATGTCGATATTTGTCGGATGACTAATTTTGAATAATATTATCTAACCGATCTTGCAGGGTTATAGTGCTCGACATTACAGCAGGAGACAATAATAGGCAAACCTTATACAACAATGACGCGCATCACTCCCATCGCAGTGCCTGCAGGGGAAGCTCACACAACAATAAACGGACCGTTTCCATACGAATATGAGTCAATTGTAAGATGCGAAGTTGCTGGTTGTAAATTATTTGTAGTTGTCGTGAGGTTCACGAAAATCGATGTGTATGACGTGCGAATTTACGGAAGACAAGGACAAGCAGGGACAGTGGAAGAGTATGTGGAATATCACGAAGCAGCTTTGCAAGTCCACGAGGGAAAAAAACTTACATTGATGCGCGAGGGTCGAAGACTTGAAGGTTGGTCTGCTTTCGTAACCAACTTTGAAAGCATGCCTATTCCACCTATCCTGGCGTGCATGCTCGACCGCTCGAACGAGGCGACGATGTGGATTCCCATCATGAATGCAACAAATAAGAGTCGTCACTAATATGATAATAGGAAAACGTAAGAGTATGAGCGAGGATAATTATTAAAAGATGATAAGTGACTGAGTAGTAGACATGGAGCGACAGCGACAAACGTCATTCACATGTGGATAAATTTTGAGTTTTTTTGTTGCAATTGCAATGTATTAATTGTGACGAACTCGTAAAAATATGATATGATTATCAAAATTTTGACTAAAAATTGTCTTGCGGATCACATCAATGTATCAATTTTAAGTTAATTGTTCAATTTGCAACGTGGGTTGGATGTTATAATATGTTGTGAGGGCGTTTTGTTCCCACGTGTGGCAAAAAAAACAGGACTTGCAGATGCAAAACACATTGAAAATCTTAATATATTGCCATAACGATGCAGATTTCAGAAAAAAAAACACAACATTTATGATTGATTCGTAGCAAACCAAAACGAAAATACTTATTTGGTGCCTTTTTCGATCGATTTAGTAAAAAAAGGTTGAAAATGTTAATAAAACATTCAGTAAAAGTCGATAAAATAATAAAAAACCTTGAAAATATTTAAAATTTTAACTACGTGCACTTTAAAAATATCACACTATTCGAATAAACGTTGTTCAGGAGCAAAAACTGACCATTTTTGGCGGTGTAATTCGATAATTAAACCCATGGTATCCTATATAATGCAGTACTAAAACTGCTAGAAAATGGGAAAAAAAGGGGAAAAAAAAAAGTTGCAATTTCGTTCAAAAAATTAAAAATGTCCGTTTTGACGAAATCGTAGTTTCAGGGGGACTCACATCTACGGTGTGGTTTGGAGTTTGACATACAGACCGGTTCGGTAGGTTGAACAGTGTGGGAACTATATAAGTATTGACGTCACGGGTTTTGACCTCTTTTTCGGCGTTCGTTCTACGGACGCTGAACGGTTTGACGGAAAGTCAGGTGGTTCCTTGGTGTTGTGGTAATGAAGAAGGTGAAGTTGAAGCTCTATCTGACGTGTCAATCAGTCTACTCCTTGAGTGTGACGTTACATGTGTGATTTTCATCCAAACATCTATGTCGCGCAAGTGAACTTACCTGGAGATATCCTACCGGAACCGAGTAAGCGTGATTTCCAATCTTGGGATTACTATCTTAAAGTACAGCTAAGTATGTATGACAAGAGTTTTGGAGCTGCCGAGCTGCAGCCATGTCTAGCAGCGATCAACGAGGAGGAGGGGGAGATAACGATGGAAGGGGCGATAGAAGATCGTTTCAACCTCCGACATGTTTTGCCTGTAATGAGCAGGGGCATTATGAAAATCAATGCCCCAATCGCTCCTGGAAAACTTCCAGCTTGGCACGTCCTTCTACATCGAATGACTCACAGCGAAGCAGGTCACCTAGGCGCTACGATTCGGGGAGATATCATCAGGCCCCGCAACTGGACTCGATCGTACGCGCGCAGATTGCTGAGATGGGCAAAAGTGTCGCGGTATGAGAGAGCATATTGATGCTGACCGTGCGAAGAAAGAAGAGAAGATTATGAAGAAGAAAGCCGAGGAAGAAGCCAAACGGCGCGAGGAAGAGGAGTTGAGATCGAAAGAGGAAGAAAGGTTGAGACGGGAAAAGAAAGCGCAACGTAAGAAGGAGAAGGCACGTAAGGAAGCGGAGTTCCGAGCGGAGATGAGGAAGGACATGAGTATCCAGTTGGCGATTCAGATGAACGAGATGCATGACAAGTACTTCGCTTCGTGGCAGCATTCTGGAGCTACACTGATCGGAGTACGATCCAGCGACAAAGAAAAGGAGCAGGTCATATACGAGCCTGGACATTCAGCATCCGAGTACAGTGATGATGGCAGTGAGGTGAGTGTTACACAGGAGCTGAGTGCTAAGACAAGGAAGCTCTGTTTGTCTGAAAAGCGAAAGCGTGGGCCCGAGTCAGTGTTCGAGGGCTATCCTCCCATGGAACGGGAACCGAAGCGGACCCCCAAGCGAGGTAGTGCGAAACCGGCGCAGCTGACGGGAAGGATGACACGCGCCAAGAACAAGAAGTATGTTGGTTTATCACCGATTTCGGCGAAGAAGCGCACTCCCGTCAAGACACCATTATGGAAGAGAAAGACCAAGACTCCGGCTAAAAAGACATCACCAGGTACGCACGGGACTTCTGCGACCAAAGGAGCTCTAGCACGGCTACGTTACCTGAATGCTGAGTTGAAAAGACTCAAGGATCTCGACGCAATGGAATTACAACGCATCTGTAAGGAAGAAGGTATCCAGTATGACAAGAAAGTTTACGCAATTTTCGAGATTGCCGAGCATAGGACTGAGTTGGCTTTGGGTAATGAGGAGTCGCAGAAGGGCGACGTCATTCAGATTACTGAATCTGATGTGGTTGAGAACACCGCTGACGAGCAAGCGAAGGGAAACGAGTAAGTTTCTTGAGTGTTCCGGATTTGTGGTCAGTCTGTGGGTACTTGGCTGTTACGATGTAAATCTACTTGCGTGGATCGTAAAGTCGATAGACTATTCAAGCTTGTTGTCGTGGTACTAGCACTGCATGGTGAGTTGCGATGGGCTAGTAAATATGTCGATTGTTGAGCTAACTTGTATAAAAGGCACTACTCTGAATTTACGTCACGATCTCGCCCTTTTGTAGGTCCTTTTATGTCGGGAAAATGACGAGAGATGTGTGTACTGGATGGCGTGAACATACCTACGTCTGTCGCACTCGCATGCAGTCTCATTTCCATAGATGGCTGTGTACGTTTGGAATTGGGAACTATGTATTGATCCTGGTAGATGTTTTGGTGGGGAACTATTTAGGGAAGTTAGAGGAGTTGTATATCAATCGATGGTCTTCATTCTTGAATACTACTGGTAGCCGCAAGGTCGTCAGCAGGAGGAAATCGACGAAGCCAGGTAAAAAGGAACGGAAGCGTCTGCATCCCAATAAGGCTACTCGTCCGAACACCTTCACACCCATTCGTTTCCGTCGTGCTGCATCTAACAAATGGGGGATCGATTTTTATGGTCTCCTTGATGAGATTCTGTCCGAGGGAAATAATTCGAGTATTATTGAGATACAGGAAGGAGATGCATGACGCCCTACCTGGCGTAAGCTTGTCAAAACCTTCGGCGACACTAAGGTAAGGGTGCCGGGTTGACAAAATTCTCGAAGTGGAACAGGGAAGGGAAATTTGGGTTTGCATACGTGATCCCTAAGCGGAAGGATCTTAGCCGCTACAGGCCAATTTGCCCGTCTTTCAATGATCGGATGACTCGCACGGGTAAGCTAGTGGCTAAGGGACTGAAGCACATGCTGTATAACTTACCGAAGCGATGGCACTTCAACCTTCGTGCAGTCTCAGAATTGACTTCCACGTTAGACCGGGCGAACAGTAAGTTTCTTCGCTTAGGTAAGGATCGTACTATCTCGGCTTTCTCATTCGACATCAAAGAAATGTTTAGTAGATTACCGCAAGAGGACATTTGTCGAGCTGTGGATTGGATAATTAGCCATCATCTGGCGAAAGGGAGGACTATGGTGAGAGTCAACGGGAGAGGTAAGGGAGCAAGCTTTGGTCTGACTACCGGAAATGATAGTTGGACTAAGTTAGACTTGGAGGATATCGAGACTTTCGTTCGGATTGACGTCCAACACACATATTTCTTTGCGACTGGAGTACTATTGCAGCAAGTTTTAGGCGTGCCTATGGGGAAGGGCACCAGCCCTCCCCTGGCATGCATCATGTGCGCCTACTCTGAGTATCGCTTCCTTTGTACACTAAAGCAGGATGCTCGTTATATTTTCGCCACGCGTCTGATCAACGACGTGCTGTTGGCTGTGTCGAGCAAGGATGTGGACTTTTGTTCTCGTGTTCTGGATTTGTTTGTACAATGCTACCCGCGGAATTTCACACTGAAAAGGACTGATAACGGCTCTGGGAGGATGAATTTTCTGGAATGCGAGATTCGTACTTCGCAGGTATACCCTTACCTTGGCTGTGTACAGTTGTCTAAGAATGAGGATTGTATCTGGTCAGCTGACAGGCTTAAGATCCAGAATGGGCAGTCTTTTTACTCTTGGGGATGCAAGAGACAGAAGAGGGCTATTATCAGCAGTCATTTGCATACAATTGATCGCAATACCTCTGTTAGATCAGAGATTCCACTTCGGGTGCTGACCCTGCAGAGGGAACTGCTGAAGAAAGACTTCCCTAATGATTTCTTCATGAGGGTGCTATCCCGTTTTGCGGTACGACGAGATGAGATATGGCGAAAGACGGTCGAATTCTTGTCTTGATCTTGAGTTGTGTGGCTCACATAGTCGTCAACTCGACTGCGAAGAGTAAGCGGTTCTGCAGGGAATGTTTGTGTTTCGGATAATGCGACAGGGCTGTACTGATTGAGTGTTGGTCCCCAGTGGTGGGATGGATGTAGTCGTCAGGCCCTATTTGCTTAGTTTTTCCGGTTTTGTGGTCTCCTGATTACTATGGGATAACAACCAGGTTTTGTGTGGTGTGGTGTGTAGGCTGGTAGCCATTTTGTCGTTGTTTTACCCCTTACGTTGGTCCCGAGTATATCGATGCATGTAGTCGTCAGACCCTATTCATGCTAGTTTTTTTTTGTGTGTGTGTTGTCGTTTCCTGTGTACTATGAGGCAACAACCAGGATTTATGTGGCGTGGTGAGTAGGTTGTTAGCTATTTCGGTTAGTTCCATACATTGGATAGCGAGACTGGTCTGCACTGTTCCAGGATGGATTCGAACCCCTGTTTTATGCTGCAGTACTTGAGTTTTGCTTAGACTGCACGATTATTTGGTACCATGGGTTGGGTACCTGAGCAGCAGGTAACAGACTTCAGGGGGACTTACATCTACGTTGTGGTTTGGAGTTTGACATACGGACCGGTTTGGTAGGTTGAACACTGTGGGAACTATATAAGTACTGACGTCACGGGTTTTGACCTCTTTTTCGACGTTCGTTCTACGGACGCTGAACGGTTTGACGGAAAGTCAGGTGGTTCCTGGGTGTTGTGGTAATGAAGAAGGTGAAGTTGAAGCTCTATCTGACGTGTCAATCAGTCTACTCCTTGAGTGTGACTTTGTCGTCTCTTTGAGTGTGACGTTACATATGTGATTTTCATCCAAACATCCAAACACCTTGTGCAAGACCTCTATCCTGGTGGTGGTAAGAGAACCACCAGGATTGAGGCTTTGCCTAGCGGGCCGCTCCATCTATTGATGGGGAGCAACACCTGCTGGAAACCAGGTCCAGCGTCCCCTTAAATACATCTTTGCCAAACAGTACATCAATGAGAATGACGTCATTGTGCTGGAAACCGGGTCCAGCGTCCCCTATCCAATCTGCTCTTCCGTACCATACATACATCAATGATGCCAAATTGTGAATACCACAACTCAGCACTGACGGGGAGGGAAATTCAATCATAATACTGAGCTGAACAGTTGAGGGGGCCGTCACAACCACATCCATTCATGTGAACTTCATTTCCTGACATTCATGAATGTCGAAGACAAAGATGAAAAGCAACAGAACCAGTTAGTTGAAGGGGGGGGGGAAGGAGAGGGGGTCATCCCCCGCCACAACCACACCGTCTCATGTCACCTTCCCTTGCCAGCATTCATGAGTGTTGGAGACAAAGGTGCAAAAAACTATACAGAAGGACGCGTTAGCTAGGGTGGAGGAGGGGGACTCGGTCACGGAACACTTCAAACAACTAGTGCAGGATGAGATCACCGTCTGTTGGCAGACTTTTTTTTTTTTTTTAAACAAAGCTCCATCTATTGGTGGGGAGCAACACCTGCTGGAAACCGGGTTCAGCGTCCTATAGATATAACCATATCCTCACAAATTGGCACAAACTGGGAACCGGGTCCAGCGTCCCATAACGAGTACGTTCAGAAAACTTCATCAGAAAAATTTCTACTAGAAAATCTAATTGGCCTAAGGATGAAAATTGAAACATGACATACCGGGGCCAAGCTACTTCAGACATGTCTATGACAACATCATGATTAAGCAAAAATTCGAATCGACTCAGAAAGATCCCCATCAAGCCACTTTACCTCCCTCCGGCAAGACTTTTTTTGCCCAGTGCCCAAGGCTGGTATTTCAAAATCATAATCCTCGAGGCCGGGGACCTCACAATTGTAACCGGATCTGGGAGCCTTACCCAATTTTTCTTTTTATGGGACCCTAAAGGACCCTGAAAATATTTCAAGAAACGAAAAAAACTTCCTCATGGAAGAAAGACAAAATAACAACATAAACTGCCTCTTCAACTTTGAACGAGCTGCAAGATATAACTTGATAAACCTAGCAACAGAACCCAAAAATTCAACCTTGAATTACAGTATCTCCACCAGTGCCAGATGGGATGGGGGAAAGGGATTTGCAAATTCTTTGGGGTCCTTGAGAGAGGCACCTGGTCTCAATGAGAACCAGTTCTTGAAACAGAGTTGGAAATCCCTTTTAAACGGGACTCCAATCCCTTCTCCCCCTGGCCACTTTACTTCTCCCAGACTCCTCTCTCCTGCACCCCCCAGCCAGTCAACTATAAATTCCTGAATCAAAAGTTGGATATCCTTTTTCCGTTGTACTCAGTGTCTCCCAATGAGTCCCGATTTCTGTTTGTATAAACTAAACAATGAGATCTGAAATTTCAGTTCCTTCTAGCACTACATCTTCTCTTTCCAACACACATCTCTTGGTACCATAGGACCCATACCATTGCTTTCCTACCAATATCAAAAACGTTGGACTGAAAAGTTGTTAGTATGACATCTTGTGGTACCCACTGTCCTATCAGAATGAATTTCCAGTTCCAAGGCCACTCCGACCCAGTAAGTTCCCTCCACACATAGTCCCATCTTCTCCATAGTAAAACTGAACCAGAACATTGCATAAAAATGTGTTCTATGGTTTCTCTACATTTTTTGCTGGAGAAATTTAAGAAACAAGATTTGCACCAAGGTAATAGTAATCCCCTCTGTTCCAAGGAAGAGTGATCAATGATCCAGTCATTGGTGGGCAGACAACGGTAAGCAATCTGCCATTGCAAAGATGAAAACTTAGCTGGACGTTGTCTGATTTTTTTGAAAAATTTTATGTCCTTAATTGTGTTTATATCCAGAGTTAAATGCCTAGCCCATCTTTCCCAGAGTGTCACCGAAATATCCACTCTTGGTCTCATTAAACGATAGACCGCTTTACCGTCAGGGATTGTAATGTTCTGGGCTTCCTTTTTTAGTGTTTTGCCAGACCCATTCCTCCAGGTCAATTGGAAGCTCTGGAATTGGTATTTCTTGATGAAAAGCTCTCCATCCTTAGATGGAGGAGATGAAAAGGACTCTGATTCGATACATATGTGGTAATGGAAATAAACAAACTGGATCATTAGGAGAACATGTCAGAAAGAATTCTCTATTTGTCTTACACATGTTCACTATAGCTCCCTGCAGGGTCATATTCACCACCTGACCTAAAACCTTGTGTCCGTTTGTCTGGATCCCAACCGCCCAGTCTCCTTCCTTGATCCTGGGCTCTTTTTTAAGGGTTACTACCCAAGCTAAAG